GTTTAGCTTTACTTTGTGTTTAGTAACATGGTACTAGACTGGGTAGAGAAACATAGACTGCTGTCTCGCTTTAGCTAGAAGGCTTAGACAGGCAGGATTAAAGTAGGAGGCCAAATTACTTACCTCTGTCCATCTTTAATTTTTTTTTGTTGCCATGCTCTGTTTTAAATAGGGTTTACATAGTTGGGAGAGAGCATTGTATGAAGCATGATAGCCACTATGCTTGTAGAAGGGTGAAATTCACCTCAGAAGTTTCACAAGCTATTTTTAGTGAGGCTAAACACAATCTAATATCGTAAGAGCATCCAAAGCTAGAACCGTGAAGCCGATCCCAGTGATACTATCTTTGTCCGTCTCTGCTGAAAACAATTCAGGCAATGGTAAGGTTCTCTGTGGGACCAAAGTTAGCAGCTGTGATGTTGGGGGGTTTTTGGCTTTTTGTTGAGGACTAAAACAGCTGATCTTAGTCTTCATCACTAACTTCAAATTGGATGTTTTTGTTTGGGTTCCCCTCCCCCAAGGCTCCTTTCCCACTTTTCTCATCCTCATTTTTTCTAGAACTTACTTGCTAAAAACCTATTTGCTGAATTAGCCACTCCACAGTCTCATTGAGGCTGTGCTAGAGGAAGCTAGTCCTAGCTGTACTGCTTAAATAGCTTGCCAAAAGAAGGCCTGGCAAATCAGCTAAGAAATTGTTTCTACTGACTCATGATCCTGTGTTCACTCAGTCTGGGTGAGATATTCAGCTGTTTTAGGGTGCTTGGTCCCAACCAGGATCATTCTGAAGCTCCATGTAAAAGGAAGAGATTTAAATGTACAGAAATCATTATTTATCATTGCTGTTATTGATAAGGTGTAGCCCTGCTATAAGTCTCATGTAACTTGAATTCAAGATTTAGTTAAGCACTTCGAAGAATTATATATTTGTGTTTTCCGTAACTGTGTTCTTGCCAGGTAAATACATTACAGGTTTGTAATCTGATTTGGTTTGTTGTTGTTTTTTTTTTTTTTTAAAATTACTAGATCACATGTATTATTTTTTTTTTTTCCTGAGTGTGATTTGATAAGTTTGTGCCAGTTCTCAGCTCTTCCTAGTGATCTAACTAGAAGAGCACTGTATTTATCTTCTGCATCAATTTGAGAATTCTGTTCAAACATCTTTATTACTTTCTGTGGGAAATAACTCTATGCAGTTACTGTTACATTTTGTAAAATTCCAAGTTCTCGAGGAATGGTAACTTTCTTAATACACCGCCTCTACAGGGACAGAATGGACAGAAGAAATACCAGATCAATCTTAAAAGTAGTTCAGGACCTATCCATGTGCTACTTATAAATAAAGAATCGAGCTCCTCCAAGCCCATGGTGTTTCCAGTTCCTCCACCCGATGACCTTGCACAGCCCCCATCTCAACCTGCAGTTCCAGCGACTCCCCTTAAACCTGCTGCAGCTCCTCAAAATCCACCAGAACAACATGATCTGAACCAAGGACAAGAGTTACCGCAAACATCAGTTGCGGACACGCCATCAGGTGGGTCCAGGGTTTTTCCTACCTCAGATGGGTGGGGGAGGAAGGGAACTGGAGGGAAAGGTGAAACTATTAGAAGGAAGATCAAGAATTTGCATAGCGTAGCAGCTGTCTGTTAAGAAACTACCCCAAGGGCTTACTAGCAGCTCTCAGGAGGTTTCCTCTTCTGTCTGGTGAAACAGATTCTTCCCTTGTAGCTTATCATCTTACACCGAACAGGTTTTGGATGTGATCCTGTTAATTATTCTGAGGTGCTTCTCCAGAATGCAGTATGGAACGAAATTGCCAACCTCTGAAGGAGTATATGATTTGAACATGTACCTTTTAATGAGACAAATAATACAGGCATCAGTTCCAGCTTTTGTGCCACAAGGTCACTTACCTTCTTCCACATAGCCACAGTGAGAGACTGCCTGAATATCAGGTATTTTTTTCATAATAATAGTAGGATAATATGAAAAGACTTAAGAAAATGCTGTCAGTGTTACAGACTGCATTTCTGAGGGGTCCCAATTACATTGTGCCTGTGACTTTGGAAGGGGGAGACTCCTCTTACCTCATCCCAGACATTGGCCATGTTCTCCTCAAAAGACGAAGCCAGGTGCAGGCCTTTTGTGTTCCCTTTTCCCGTAACAGACTTTATAATGTGCCTTTCTGTCTTTGTAGTCGGCAGCGTGCAGCAGAACAGTACAACCCCGGCAGCTCCTTACTCCAGCCTTCCGGAGTCGGTGTTGTACCCCAGCCTTTCAGGAGATGTCGCCCAAGCTACAGCTAGCTCAAATGACTACCAGGGCTTGCTGCCCCTGGATGTTAACTGTATTCTCAAGCCAAACTCATTCGACATAGCAAAGATGGAGGAGCCTGCAGGTAGGAAGAAGCAGTTACTGTTTAAATGTTTTTATTAGTTTCCTGAGCCCTTCTTTGTGACCGAGCTACTGATGAGTTACACAGCAGGAAAGATGAGTGTCACTTGAGTGACAGGTCTTTGTTCATCTCCTAATGAAGCTACTGAGCAAGCTCCGAGTAGCAAACTCATTTTGAGCAAAATAACCTCTCTCTGCCACCAAATAAGCTTCATACTGTACATGGTTCTAGGGTTATAAGGGATCAGTGAGAGAAATGTATCAGGAAAAACTGAGGGATACAAAGATTAATATATTTTACATATACATGGCATGCCATCTCCACAGCTTCTACACTGCACATGAGCTACACTGTACTTTGCAATTCAGTGTTTTAGTGCAGAGAATATGTGTTGACTTCCATAAACACACGCTCCTGTCTTTCACAGGAAATATCAGTGGGGATATTATTGATGAACTCATGTCTTCTGATGGTAAGTATTTAGCATCTTTACTTTTCTAATAATCACAAGTAGCAGCATGGTTTTTATGTGAACAGCACTCTTTGTAGGTGTCTGTTAAATTTGATGCCAAGAGTCTGTATGGAATTACTTCTTTCCCCTGTACTGCCTCCTCTCTCTTTGTCATTCTTGCCTTTGCTCCCCTTTCCATTCCCTGCAACAGTTTTATTTAACAATCAAAATATGAAAGCCTTAATGCCGCCAGCACTTACATGCATGAGTAACCCACCAGTCCTTAATTTCAGGAACAAATAAAGAACAGGCTGATGACTAGAGTGCTGCCTTAAAAAAAAAAAAAAATAAATCTGGTTTAATTCTGTTCTGCCTCAGGCTTCTTGCAGGAGCTTTGAGTAAACATTTCAGAACATATTTACATGCCTGCATGCAGACTGATACATGGCCAGCTGTACTACACTAACAGAACAGACAAATGTCACCCGTTTCTGCTCTTGCACCTCAGTGGCCATATGAGTGCAGAACTGAACCACAGCTAGCGAGTTCACACGCTCCCTGCCTCTCTGCTCTATCTCACTAAGGTGCCAGGCAGAGGTGAACTCAGCTGGTGGTGTTCCTCTTGCCCTGTAAATATGCTGCTGTGAGCAGCCTCTGCTAATACCTGTCCTTCAAGCAGACAACCTCAGGGCTTATTCAGAAACAACCATGTAATTATAAGATCTATGGGGCAAAATGGGATTATGTGAATGTGCCAATACGTGGCTAAAATGGAAATAGTCTCCATTTTAGAGCAGGTACAGCATGCCCAGCTCATCTGCACTAGGTTAGTGTTCCTGAGGTGCAGCGTGAAGGCTGAGGCTTCTCTGCTTGTGTTCCCTCCCCAAAGCCGGCTTTCAAGTCCATGCTTGAATTGCAGTGCACAGAGAAACTGCTAGCCTCCATTTTTCATCTGTAAAGTAGGGATAATGGTAACTCCCTTAAAATCTTAAATATTTGAATACTGTACATGCAATTCTGTAACAAGACAAAGGAATATAAACATAAATGATGGCTTTTTGATGAAAGTTTCAAAGGAGCTCCTTTCTGCAGAAGGAGAAATTAAGTCCATATTCCACAACTATCACTCCATTCTAGCAAATTCACTTAAAATATTAAGCAAAAAATGTAGACATGTCACTTACTGCCTTAGTTTGAAGGCAATACAGGTATTCAAGGTATGTTTCCTAGCATGCTTGTCAGATTATCAAGACTATTTTAATTATTAAGACTAACCCTGATACTAGTGATGACAAACATACTGAATTATGAGATAGGGCTGATATTCCAGAAGTGTTTTAATTTAAACTAAACTCTTCCTGCTTTACAGTTTTTCCTCTCTTACGACTCTCTCCTACTCCCGGAGATGACTACAACTTTAACCTGGATGATAATGAAGGAGTCTGTGATCTCTTTGATGTGCAGATACTAAATTATTAGATATTGTGTCAACCAGACTACTTATCTACCTCTAACTATAACATTCTAGACTTCTTCATAACCTAAGTATTTGAATAATGAATGTATAACTTAGTTCACTGACTCTGGGAGTATATTTCCTTTTGCTTCCTTTAACTACTTCACAAAACAAATTCAACAACCAGAAAGAAGGGCTTTTATAAAAAATTCTGGCACATTTTTTCACCTGAGTGTCCTCCGTGTAATCCAACTATTTGCAGTTTTCTTTAGTAAGAAAAGTGAAAATGCTTTATAGCCTCTTGATCATTTTTTAAAAAATGATTAAGCTTCTTGCTCACAGTTAACAGCATTTTCTTTGAAGCTTTACTGCCAAGAAGCTTTCTATATTTTTTTTTAACTTTTCAATTTTGAAGCTTTCACTGCCAAGCTGAAAAGTGAAGGGTATCAACTTGAGTTACGTTAAATTGTTTCAGTGAACCAATTTTGTGAAGTGCCTTCTGTTTTAGCACTTTAAGTTTCTCACACTGACTTCTGACATTCCGCTTTCCTAGATGATAGGAAAGGTCTGTTTGTAGTTTGTATTAAAGTGTGCCAATACTTGTATATTAACAAGATTTTTTTTTTAATAAAATTGTACAAACAAAGCCATCAGTATTTTTGATCTTCATTTCTTGCAATCCTTTCATTGTCCATTATGCATTACAACTGAGATAATAGGCTTGTGGCAGCATCCACGTTTGCTGGTTCCTCTTCCAGATGCGTGGAAACCTGAAAAAAAGTTACAATTAAAGTAGAAAGCAGTATCTTTTTACTATGCTTGAAAAAAAAAAAAGAATAAATACCTGTTGTCTAGAAGATTGGTTTGTCTTTATATATTTAATTTAGGCTAATTTGGGGGGGATTACAGGATTCACTAAACTTGACAGATAAGCAACCAATACTTTATGCTGCAGGAGAAGGACAAAGCATTATGCCAGTAACATAACATACATAGCCAAATGGAAATAGGCTCAGCTTTTAGTTCAGGAAATGCTCTCGACAACATAATTTTGCAGCTTTGGAGAAAATACTATTACAGCCTGAGTGATCAAATTCAACATGACGTCATGTACAGCCCTACCAGCACATGAGCAGTGGTATAGTCCGAATTCCTGGCTGCGTGCAATAGCAAGGCAGCAGGGTTAGGGCCACTGCCACCAACTGCCTTGAAACCCTTGCTTGGCCTCATCCTGTGCTGGCGGCACTGTCACCTACATTTCATTTTCCCCTCAGCCTCTCCTTAAGGTACTTGACACTCCTGTCGCTCCCAGCCATGCAGAAACTTGATCACCCCAGGCACAGTAAATAAAACTCATGTCCGCTTCTCCCAACTCCCTCTACTCCCCCCAACAGCCAGGATGGATTCATCTGTACTTTGTCCTGGCCTGCTCCTTTCCCTCTCCCCCAGACCATGCCAAGCACATCAGCATAGAGAGTTTACACGGAGCAGCTTGTCTGCAATTAAATTCCGTGAATTATTTCTTGCTCAAGACTGCATGTACCCCTATTTAATAGAGTAGACAAAGGAAGATAAGTGAAACACTCTCTTGAACCCTAAATGCTACAGGCAAGAGCTCTAGTGTAGAAATTGCTGTTTCAGATGTTGGTACTTCTGATGAGGGAACATGAAGGCTTAGGAATTGGGAACAGAAAGAGGCAGAGCTGTTTGGTTCAAAGCACTATCAGGTGCTTCAGGTAGGGAACAGCAAGGTTCATCCTTACTTTCTGTGTCTACTCATGTTGAGGCGTAAGTCTGAAATCAAGGGACTGGAGCTGGAACTAACTTTAAAAAAATCAAAAAAACAGCTACAACATAATTTAAAAATATGTTTTGGAAGCCTGCTCCAGCTCTTTTCTCTTAACTTTAGTAGTTATATAGCACTTGAATATGCTAACTGGATTTCAACATTACCACACAACTGAAATTAATAAAGCTGGGTTTATAGCTTTAAAGCAACTGCATGAATTGCCTGCAGTCTTAGAGCCAGAATATAAAGCTTTGAACATGCATTTTCCTTTCATTTACCTCCTCAGATTTTTACAAAGGGAAATTACCTGATGACTCTTCTGAGGTTCAGTTGCAGTGCCTTTTGATAGCTGCTGTACTTCTTTCTGGACTTCAGCAAATGCTTTATTTACTGTGCTAACTTTCTCAGCATTTCTAATGTTTATCTGGGAGGGAAAAAAAATACACACATTGGTATTTTTAACTGAAATTCCATTGGCATGTGAAATTGCACCATTTTTGTACAACTACTATACAGCCAGTGTTATATGCACATCTCCCAAAATTGCTTTTTGGTAGGTATGTTTTTAAACTTGAGTTTATCTGTTACTTAATTATATCATCTAGTCACGTACTACTAATGTTCTAATAAATTGAAAATTATGAAAGCGGTTAAACTTGTTCTATTGGAGAGGGAGCCCATAGCTATCCAGAAACAGAACACAGAGAAAACAAAAGCCAGGCTGTGGACAGGCCCTGCTACGCCGCCCTCAGCTCCTCTTAGCTGGAGTGAAATTCCAGGAAGGGCTCCTTCCTTCATTTGTAAATGATCTTACCATTTTGAATTTCTTCCAGTAGTTTGCCTTTCAGGATCGCACCTTGCATTCCTACTTGTTCATACTGTAGGTCTGGCCAACAACGTCTATCAGATTTTGCTATGGTATTTAAAGAAACTTCTATGGCTGTAGCAGACCAAGACCTGTATCTGGTGTATCTGGTCCCTGGACACCTGAGCCTCACTTATTAGCCCAAGACTGCCTTCATAAGTTATTTCAGCAAAGATGCTTGCTTTCGAAGGGGAAGAGCTAAGATATGGATGTGTGCTGTGCTCTGGGAACAATAATCTGTTGTAGAGGAGCAGGGTGGATGCATGGGGCCATCAACTCTTTCACCACTACAGCAAATTAAAATTCAGCTGATCTCAGCCCTAGCAGCTCTTGCTTCTGAAGCACCAAGTTTGGAACAGGACTGTAGCCAGATAATGGCCTATTACATTGCAAATGTTCCAGAAGTACACTCATACTTCTTCAGGCAACCCCAAATTTCAGGATACCTAATGCTGTTCCAAAGGCTACCCCTGTAATTCACCTCTCAGCAATTTACATAGGCAGAAGCAAACCGTGAACTGTTACATGTATTCATTTTGCTTTCAAAGCTTCCATAATTTCAGAGCATCTGTACATCAACAATAACTCAAATTCTAAGTGAGTAACCAAGAGAACCAGTAGTAAGAAAGCAGTGGCAAGAGGCTGATAAAACAAGCCTATTCGGATTAGCAGTTTAATTCATAATAACCTGGGTGGTGACTTGAGAAATACAGACTTGGCTCCTAGCTCAAATCGGAGTGGATGGGACTGTGGGCAATGCAGTTTACAAAGAGCTTAGGTTTCCATCGGGCTCGTTACCGTCTTCCAGCTTCACAGGGGTGCTGAAAGGATCCAGTCAGTTTTAATACTGGATATCCTCAGCTGCTCTGGCAGGACTCCTCCATGGAAAGAGGCTCTGTAGCTAGCATGTGTATCTATAAAAGTTGTCTGAATAGTTATAATGGGCTTTTATCTATTAAAGAAGCAGCCTATTTTAACAATTTTTTCTGAGCATTTTCCTATACTGCTTAATGATAAGTAAATCCCCAAAGGCTTAATGAATTAAAGAATACAGCTTCAAACACACAGAATAAAATTTTACTCCTAATAAGCTACTGACTTTTCATGAATATGTTTTTAAACCTGTTTCTCCCTTTATTATACAGAACCCTCTAGACTAAGTGGAGATGGGACGCCAGCAATATGAAATTACTGTGGGGCTCCCAGTTTATTTCCAAAGTTTGTTACATTCCTGTCTGTCTAGCAGATTAACTTGTCAAGTGGCTTTAGCTTCCAGGAGAAAATCTGAAAGGGCCTTTTTTTAGAGCTGCTATTTAACTCTGTTTGCCCAGCAGACTGCAACTAAATCTAATGGGAACAATAAGCCACTAACTTTCTGCTTTTATTATCAGATGCCCTTCTAGAGGGACCAGCTGAACTCTCAGCAGATGACACAGCTTAGGCTGGAGGCAGGGTTTGAGAAGAAGATACTGTATAATGACTTGCTGCTACCAAGAGGAAAACTCTTGCTTAGATCACCCCCTTCCTTCCTCACCTGCATCGCTCCCAGCCACATGACCCCACTCTCTCCCTCCTCTGGGCTGTGGTGCTTTCCGGACATGAAAATGGCAGAATATTATTTTCGCTTGTTTACTTTTCCATCACTTTAGTGTGTTAAATCAGCTCACAGAAGGGTCTGCAGAGCAACCCAGCCCATCTAAGGTGTCAAAAGGGGGAAAAGAGGCATTAAGAGTAAAGCATACAGCAGCGTGTGCTCTTAGATCTGCTCACTGCATCTCGCTGACACAGTTTTACTTGCAGCTAAGACAAATAAACAGCTTCTGGATCAGAAAAGGCTCCATCCTTTCTGGTTCTTCCCCCCAAAATGTTTCTCTTTGCACTCACTCATAATTAAGTTTGTTCAACTCACCAACCCAGCAGAGAAAAATGCAAAATGCATTTTTAATTGCTTTTGCTGCAAGCTGAATCACCTAATATGCGATGAGTTCCCCAGCCAGCACCAAGGCGAACTGTGGGAACGGAGCCCGGAGCCTGGTAAGGGGGCTGGGGTGGGGAACATGACAGAGAGGAGCAGGACTTCCCCGTACAGTATCTGTGCCTGGTGGTTTGGATCAAGCCACTCTGTTAACCATACCCTGAATTACGCCATCAGTGACGCTGCAAGCGTTGCCTAGTAACTGTAAGCTCATTAAACAACTGATGTCTTCAGCACCACGTTCCCCAGGACATGCTGAGATGCTGTCAGGTACTTTCTAACTGACCCCCCTCCAGCAGAACAGCTTGAAGTCTGATGTGGCAGAAGCTCGCAGGAGATTAGTCAAATAAACTTTCTGTGCTTCTCTTTTTGAAGATGATGTCATCAGCACATAAGCCAAGTTTTCAGGGGCACGCGGTGTACTTTGCAGTTTCGTACCCAGAAGAGTACTGTCCGTAACGCAGCTCTATTCAGTCAGTCACAGGTGCTTCCTCCGCCCCGCAGAAGAGAGCTACGAGGAAGAAAGGCCGCACCAGCC